CTGTAATCATTCTGTGCCCAAATTAGCACAAAAGAAAAGATAGAAATGATAAGACAAATGAAAAAGGCCATACCACTGGCCAGCCCGCTGGGCTCTGGTGCAGGGTGCTGCTTGCTGAGCAGCATCTGATAGCACATCCAGCCAAAATATACTATAAAATATACTATAAAAGGGGAGAAATGGGAGACTATAATTTATTAAATATCTCTTGTGTGATCGTTGTTCTTATTCTGATACTTTTAGGAAATATTCAATGAGGTCTTTGGCTTCTTAAAAGCAAAGCTTTCAGTTGTTCTGTTAATATTTTATCATCCAAGATAGAATAAAAGACTGTAGGAGACATGCCAATGAAAATAAAATGAACAGTAGTCTTCTAGCTAGCGTTAATTATAATGCTTACAGCTTTCTTAAAATTAAAAACAATATACAGCCATAAAGACTAGCTGTAGATAACTTTCAAGACAGTTCTCGTCCTCTTTTTTTTATTCTTTCAGACAAAAAAAAAAGTCATGGTTCATTCATTATACAGCTTTTTACCACTGTGGTTGCTACATGAAAGACATAATTTTAGTTTTCATGTTCTTTATTGTCCACACTTTGTTCTGGAGTTAAGTAGGAATAACTGGAAGGATAGTTTGTAAATTGATACATGGACAAGACAAAACCTGGTTCATGATTTTGTGCTTTTGAAAAGTAGGTCCCCCTCCCTCTTTTTCTGTTTAGGTAATCATTAAAGATAATAGAATCATTGGACAGCACAATTAGGGGAAATTATTTTCAGATGATATTATCTAATTTGTAGGCATGTAATTAGATTTGAACCCTTAATATGTATTTATTCTAAACAAAGTGACTTAACTTATGAAGGCAACTTTGTAGCTTATAAAAGATGTCAAAGTTACAGTGTTACATTTAAAGTGAATTAGAAGTTACATGCCATAGTGGGTAGAGATTGTTGAGTTATTGGGTTTTACTGTTGATGCATAGCATGTTCACTGTAGTTAGGCTCTTATAAAAATACAGCTGTAGGGGACCAGCAGGTGGCGTGGTGGTTAAGGCGCTGGGCATTCCCACATGACTGATGGTGGTTCCAGTCCCGGGCCTGGTGGTTTGCTTTCTCACTTTCCCACTTTCTCTGTGTGTCTCTCTCTGGTCAAATTAAAATAAATGAATAAATAAAATAGATAATTCTTTAGGAAAAAAATACAGCTGTAGATGTTTGGTAGGGAGGGTGGAAATAAATTAGGATGTTTGACGGGTTCTAAAGGGTTGCTTCAGAGATCATGTGTTAAAGTGTCTGTAGTTAGTCTTCATTGTAGTTTTTCAAGTAAATGTTGACAGGTTCCAAAAATTATTTGGACATTCTAGGAAGCACATTTATGTATCTGATGTGGTAAGGAGTATTCCTGTGAAAAACTGGAGAGGGGCTTTTTTGTCTTACAAGACTTGTTAAGAAAAATTTATTTAATAATGTTAACAGGAGATGTGGAAAAGTAGTTTGCTCTTTTCGACACCTTCACTATTGCTTGTTTCATTGATATTGCTGAGTAAATACCTGTACTTTATATTTATTGGGCTTGCTTTGCTCATCTAACATTTTTGCTCTTGAAAGTGTGATTGATTATAGATGACATCCTGGGTAGCATGGGAGGTGCTGTGGGATACAGGTGCAAAGGTTGCTAGTCAAAAGGGTAGTAGTCTTAGTGTCTTAGAAAAAGTGCAGCAAGAGCTCATGTGAAGTGGACTTTGTCCACCTTTCAGCTCCAAATTCAGTTCTGTGAACTGATTTTATTATATAGTCCTTCATGCTGTGATGAATTGTCTTAGTAATTTTAGAAGTGATTTTAGGTATCCTGATGTCAGTTTTGTTAAAAGTTAATAATACAGTTTTTGGGACCAGCAGTTGGTGTAATGGCTATGTAGCTGGATTCCCATGTAGTCGACTGTGGTTTGATTCCTGGACCTGGTGCCTTAAACTCAGGCCTGGCGCGTGTGTGTGCATGCCCAAGATCCTGAGAGGAGAGTAGAGGAGAAGGGATTGTGGTGTGGCCATCCCCCCTGGGGGGTGTTTTCTCGCTTTCTCTCTCTCTCTCTCTCTCTCTGTGGCGAGCGCATGCGCCCTATAGCAAAAACCTCTCAAAAAAAACCCACATTTTTTATCTCATACAAATGTTTTGCTTATATGATCACTTACTGCAAGCAGAAATGTGGTAAATTGACTTCTTGTTTCATTTTGCATATAATTTTATTTTAAAGAATTATTTTATTTAGCGTTATTTATTTATTTATTATTTATTTATTTTTTGTGAGAGCTTTTTGCTATAGGGTGCGTGCGCTCGCCAGAGAGAGAGAGACAGAGAAACAGAAAGCGAGAAATCACCCCCCCCCCCCCAGAGGGGATGGCCACACCACAATCCCTTCTCCTCCATTCTCCTCTCGGGATCTTGGGCACACACGCACACACGCCTGGCATGAGTTTAAACCGCTGAGTCCGGGACTCGAACTGTGGTCTACTTACTATGTGGGAGTCCAGCGACATAGCCATTACGCTAACTGCTGGTCCCTATTTATTTCTTTATTTTTAATTTGATGAGGGAGACAGACAGAGACAAAGAGAAACACAGAGAGAAGGAAAGCAAGAAAGCAAGCTGCCAGGTTTGGGACTCGAACCACAGTTGGCCATGTGGGAGTCCAGTGCCCTTAACCACCATGCCACCTGCCAGCCCAATATTTTTAACTTTTAGAGGTAAGCGAATGACTACTTAATGGGCTAATAGTACCACATAATTTCTGTTCAATGTCTGTAAAATAAAATACACTATAAAAGGGAAAAAATGGGAGACTATTATTGAATATCTCTTGTTTGATAGTCGTTACGCTAGATACCTTCCAAATAACCTTTTATAGCTCTATGAGATTTTGGCTGTGTTCAGAACTTGTATGTGGACACTGAAGTGCTGAGTTGATAAATTTATCAAAACTTCTGAAAGTTAGGGACCAGCAGTTAGTGTAATGGCTATGTCGCTGGAGTCCCACATAGTCAACTGTAGTTCGCGTCCTGGACCCGGTGGCTTAAAACTCACGCCGGCTGCATGTGCGTGCGTGCCCAGGATCCCGAGAGGAGAATGGAGGAGAAGGAGAATGGAGGAGAATCACCCCTGGGGTGTGATTCCTCGCTTTCTGTCTCTCTGTCTCTCTCTGTCTGTCTGGTGAGCGCACGCACCCTATAGCAAAAAACCTCTCCAAAAAAACCCAAAAAACAACTTCTGAAAGTTAGAGCAAGAATTGCATGTTGTTTCATCCTTTTTTTTTTTTTTTTTTGTAATTTGCCAGAGAAAGTGTGTGCTTTCTAGAGAGACAGAGAAAGGAAAATGAAAAGCATTTTGCATGGGGGATGGTCATAGTACAAACTCTTCTTCACTATATCACTCCTTTTGGTATTTTGGGTATGCACACATATGTGTGTAAACTCATAATTTAATTTAATTTCAGAACTTTTAAAATGAATTACATTATAGTATTGATCCCTTTGTTTCATATATCATTTGTTTGCCTGCATGAAGTTATTGCCAACTCTTAAAGAACTACCATTTGGAATCAGGAGCTAGTGTGGTGGTGAAGGCAGCTGGATCCCACATGGCTGACTACACAGTTCAAGTCTTATACCTGGAGGCTTGAAAAACATGCTGGGCCCATGTGTGTGAATGTCTAAAATTCTGAGAGAATGGACGAAAATGGATTGCACCATGGCCATTTCCCTTGGGGCGAACTTCCTTACTTTCTGTTTCTATCTGTCTCCAACTAGCACACTTCCCTGTTGGAAATAGAAAACAAAAAAACACCCCACAAACATTTCACAGGTTACTAATTGTAAACGAAATGACAGCCACACTGCTCGGATTTAATTCCTTACTTTATTCTTTTTTTGTTGTTGTTGTGGTTTGCCAAATTACTTCAGCATTTGAACTTCTAGGATTGGCTCTTTTAATTGAGGATGGTAAGTCTTATAGGTTTGTGGTGTGGGCTAAAATAACTTATTATACGATTAAAGTTCTTAACATATTGTCAGCATTTACTGAATTCTCAAATTTGTGTGATAAACAACACTTTTTAAAATTTTGCATCTTGACTCATTTTGCTTTATAAATAATTTCTTTTATATTCAAGAAAGCATCCTTAGAGAATTCACGTTTTTGCAATGTCTGAACATTTTTACCATGATTTGGTTTCTATGTCTAGTTATTCCATATTCAAGTGTAGTACAGATAGTACTGTGGCTCTTAGTAAATTTTTTTTTTGTAGCATTTAGTAATTGATACATGGTAGACATTTAAAATCTATTCTAAGAGTACATGAATTTGAATCTGTTTTGAATCATACTACTTTTTTCATGATAAGTTCTTAACAATTTTACCTTAATCTCTAGTGTAAAGGAAATATCTAGATTCTAACTTTGAAAAGAAGACATTTATTTAATTTTATTTAGTATTATTTCTGTTTCACTGGGGAGAAGCAGAGAGAGGAAAAGTGAGAAAACAAGTCCAGGTCTTGAACTGCTGTCAACCATGTGGGAGTCCAGCACCTTAACCAAAATGCTACCTGCTGTATCCAAACTTACAGATTTTAGTGACTGGATGGGTCTTTCAAAAATTTTATTTACTGGCCCAGCCAGGTGGCGTGGTGGTTAAGGTGCTAGATTCCATGTGATTGGCTAAGCAGTTTGAGTCTCAGACCCACTGGGCACGTGTGCATACAGGTCCGAAATCCTAAGAGGAGAATGAAGGAGAAGGGATTGCAGCATAGCCATTCCCACTAGGGATGCACCTTATAGTGAAAACTAAAAAACAAACCCTTTTCTTAAGTGCTGTCTTACTTTGTGTTTGGCCAAAAAGTGATTGTTACCTGAAATGATCTTTAAAAATTACCTTAAATTTATATATATATATATGTATATATATATATAGCACCATTTCTCTTTTATTTTTCCTTTATTCTCTTAGCTTCATAATGAAGAGGATAATTCAGAATCAGCTGCTATAGAGCAGCCTTCGACTTCAAACCCGACTCCACAGGTTGCGCAGATTGGTCCTTCGACACCAGCACTTGAAACGGATTCCTCTCCTCCTCCTTATAGTAGTATTACTGTCGAAGTACCTACAACTTC